ACAATCACCACACACAGATTCAGCCAGAACAAGGCACTTTTACTGCCCCTTGGAAATACCGTCCAAATAAATACACAAGTCCACAGTGACCACAGTGGGAGCAGCCCCCCCCCCCCCGGGGTGGTGTCCTGGCACAGTGTGCGACCTGTACTCCCATCCTTGGCAGTCCTGCGATTGCAGGAAGAAAGGCTTTCTGCACACGGCTCCATAAGCTGTAGGAAATGGGTAGACCCGGGGCCTGGGTTCATGTCAGCTGTCGCCTCCTTCCTGTCGGTTGCTTGGCTGCAGGCGTTTCACTTGGTTTTGCAACGGGAGGCTGGGTTCTTCCCAACCTGTAAACATGCTGGCGGTCAGTGTCCACAAGAGAATTCAAGCTGGTGGTGGGCACCCTGAGTCGGCCTCCACTGCAGAGTGGCCAGTGTGACCTGGAGCCCTGCGGTACCTGGCGAGTGCTCTGCTGAATCCTGGGGGCTTGAGCCCTTCCCCACCAGTCTTCCAGCTCTGGGCCCACCTGTGTCTGCACAGAAGGCCTTCCTCGGGGGAGACTCGGCTCTGCTCCGGCTGGTGGCCTGTTGCTCTCCATGGGTCCTGGCCGGTGCGGGTGGGTCCACAGGGGCTCTGTTCCAGGCGGCTCCCAATGCCGTCTGCCCAGTACCTAGGCCAAGGCCAGTGCACACCAGGCCTCCTGGTGCAGGCGCCCCCCCAGGCCGGCCTGAGGGCCCAGGGTTGTGGAGGGGAAGGCGAAGTCCTCAGGCTCAAACTTGAACTCCAGGTGGCTGGGGGCGAGGGAGTCGTCAGCCTGGCCAAGGGGCTGTGGGGACAGAGGCCGTGAGGGTGCAGGGTGGCCGTGGCACTAGGGGTGTGGAACCCCCATGACGGCACTCTGCCCTAAGGAACCCCTTGATGCACCAGGGGGTGGGGTCCTACGTGAGGGTAATCCTCGGCATGGTCAAGGCTGTCCCCGGCACCCTGCACTGAGTTGGCTCTGGGGGATGGGCCGACACCCTGGTGGCAGGAGTCTGAGCATGTTCCTGGCCCAACTGGGGAAGAGGTGTGGGGGCTCTGAGGGAAGCCAGACATGGAAGAGTAGTTGGGGCTCCTCAGGGTCCCAGCTCTGGGCACCTGCCCCACCCCCTTACCTGGGCGGCCACACTGGGTCTGGAGCACATTGGGGAGGCCAGGCCAGGCTCAGGTTTTGAAGCAGCCACCGAGCCCTCGGCACTGGGGAGGGTGCACGAGGTGGCTGCAGAGCTCGCTGTGGGTCCTAGAGGGAAAGTGGGCATTTACAGAAGGTGCTAGGTCTGTGCCCACCCCTCCTGCCACATGGCCAGTTGTTCTGTCCTGGCCCAGAGAGGTGGGAGGCGTCTACGGCCACAGCGTGTGGGTGTGACTTCCTTGACCCCCCCTTCCATCCAGTCGCTGACCAGTTCTTAACCCCAGCCCTCCCAAAGTCACACAGGGCAGAGCTGGGGGTATCTGCAACTGGGAGTGTAATGCCCGACCCCAGGTGGAGGCCTGGACACTCCTTGGCAGCCCTGCACACACATGCACACACATATGTGCACACACGCTCGCACATGCATGCATGCACACGTGGGGCTGGCCCCTGAACACCGGGCTGCACACCTGAGGGGCCCTTGGCCTTGGTGGCACACTTGGGCTTCCGCTTCCGTGTTTGGATACTCTCCTTCTTCATGGCTAGAGGCCGTGGCACCTGGCGGGGGGAATGGAGGCTGGTCCCTGGCCCTGTCCAGCCCAGCCCCTTGCACGGCACCCTAGGTCCAGTCCCCAGAGTCAGTCCCTCCCGGAGCTGCCCATGTCCTACAGCCCCTGGGCTAGGGTTCCTCCTCCTAGGCAGGGTGGGGGATCCTGGGGGCTGCGGCTGAACCCCTATCCCGACTCCCAAGGAGCATCAGAGCAGGGGTCAGAGAGCAGGCACAGATGTCCAGTGTCCTCGAGCTGAATGACTGTGGTGAGCCTTGGGGATCCCAGGGGCTCAGTGGGTCAATCTGCACAGTGGGTGTGACAGGAATAGCACAGCTGCTAGGGTGGCATGTGGCCCATGGGGACATTTATGTAACATGCATGTAGCAAGTTCTGCCCAGGGGTGGACATCATCCCGCCGGGTCCTCCCCTGCCCAAGTCTGGGACGAGATAGCAGTCACATGATGCTGGACAGGTATCAGCTCTGCCCGCCACCTGGGACCACACTCACCCCGTGCAGCTTCATGTAGAGGCCACAGGCATTGCACACGGGCTCCCCCTCTGTGTTCCGCCGCCAAAGCGTGGTGTTGGTCGTGTGGCAGTTGGTGCAGCAGAGGCCGGCGCGGCGGGACGAGGACTACAGAGGAGGGGAATGGGTGAGCCTGGGGCCCGGAACCTGGGACTCGGCCCCGAGGGCTCTGGCTGCAGCTTGGAGCAGAAACACCAACTGGAGCAGGAGGAATGGGAGCCAGACTCAGGACGGACCAGCAACCAGGTCAAGGATCATGAGGGACCCAGTGAGAAGGGGTTTGGGGACATGCTGGCTTTGCAGAATGTGAAGGCCATGGTTCCTTGAGTTTTGACTCACCAGTTCAGGAGCCCTGAGAGGTCATATCACTTTCCTGGGCCTCCATCTCCCCATCAGCAAATGGGGATATAACAGACCTGTCATGGTCTGGCCGTGGGATCAGAAGACATGGAAACAGCTGCAGTTTCCTGCTGTCTCTCAGACCCCCCTGCACCCCCACTCCCACCTAGGGCCATGACCCAGGTCCTGGGTGAAGCTGCACCCTGAGGCCACAGGCCTGTAGTCAGGCCACAGCGAGTGTCCAGAGCCTGTGGTCCCCCTGAGGCACTGACCTCTCAGGCCTGGGGACCTCAAGCTCTCCATGGCTTCCTAGCTGGATGGCGGCTGATGGCATCTCGCCCTTGCTGTACACTGCCTGGCACTGGAGTGACACTGGACCCATCTGGAACCTTCCAGGCACCCTGGTTTCACCTGCCCCCTTCCTACAGTGCCCAGTAGAGATCGATGCCCATCCTGCAGGCCCAAATCTCACCAGAGACCCCAAACCTCCCTGCACTCAGGGACTTTCGGGACCCAGTTGGTGGATCCAGCCTAGAGCTTAGGTGTCTGGACCCAAGAGGACCTAGGAGGGCCCATGCGGCTGCCTGGGGGTCCTTATGGAGCCTGCCAGGGCCTCCCCCAGCCTGAGGTCACCCCTAACCTGGAATCCCCTGAGTGGTCCAGCCCAGCCCATCTGTCTCCCTCCTGCTCGATTCATGTGATGATGTCTGGAAGGGAGCCCTTTCCTGAACTTCAAGAATGGCCCTGCCGGTGGCAGCCCCACCTCTGCCACCTGTGTCCATACCTTGACCTCAGAGGGTACTGCTGTCTCCACCCCAGCCTGGCCCTTGGATGCCCAACCTCTTGGGGAGCTGCACAGCCCCACCAGGTCCAGGTCCCAGTGCAGTAGCTCTAACTGGTCCTTCCAGGGGTAGTGAGGGCCCAAGTGCATCATCAGGGCCTCAGGATAGGGACAGCGCCCACAGGATGAGGTCCCCACACAAAGCCACGTCCCCATAGTCTCCAGCCCAGGCCTGGGAGCAGCTGGGCAGCAAAAAGAATCTGTCCTGAACTTGGGACCTGCCTCGGCTTCCCTACCTGCTAGCACTCTCTCTGAGCAAAGTGACCAGTCAGTCTCCACCCCAGCCCATCCATTTGTTAGCCTTTCTGGAAGGGGGAGTGGCCTTGGCACCTCCCCAAGGGCTGCCAGACGACAAAGCCCAGGACGCCTCACTGGAAGGGAATTGCAGATAAGCAGCGAACACTTGGCCCAGCTGTGTCTCCTGCCGTGCTTGGGACATAAATACTCAAATATTACATGTGTGTGTTTATCTGAAACTCACATTCAACTGGGTGTCCTGGATTTTATCTGCCGACCCCTCTGGGGCCCCACAGCAGCCCTGCCTCCTGCTGCCCCTTCAGACCAAGAAGCAGCCATGGCCCGAGGCTGTCTCCCTTCCGGAGCCAGCAGGACCCTCAGGTCTTGGACCAGCCACCGTCCCTTGGTACTCAGTCTCAGGTGCACACACACACACATGTGCACGCACACGTGTATGCACACACAAACATGTACATACACACATACACATATGCACACATACAAGCGTGCACACGCATGCCTGCACCCGCACACACTCCCACATTTGCATAACTTACACATCCACCACAGTTGCCTGCATGGCAGGAGAGGCCAGGCTCTGTGCCCGTGACTGGGAGACCCTGAGACATGGACCGTGGAGGGAGACAGCAACGAGTGGCTGACACGCAGAACACGCGTGTTAGGAGAGAGGCCCCAGAAGCGAAGAGCCCGCCACCCCATGCTCTTCAAGGGGCACGGGAGTTTGGAAGCCATGTCTGACTTTTTCTACAGTGAGTACGTTTTACTTCTGAATGGAAAAAAAAAAAGAATTGACCTCAAAATCACATTCAAAGTGCATCCGATTGGCCTTTTCCTAGACTATCACCAGACTGCTGTCACACAAGGGGAAACTGAGGCTCAGGGGTGCTAAGGGAAGGGGGACCTGGGTGGACAGAATTGCCCACCAGGCTGGACACTTCGGGGACACCCTCCCACACAGTCCTCACCCTGTGCCAGCGTCCCCCGTGCCACCAGCCCCGAGGGTGCAGGAGCCTCCGCGATCCCTTTCATTGTCCAGGCAGCCATTGGCCCGGCCACCCTCAGCCTCACTGGGCCCCTCTTCTGGCCGCATCTCATGTTTCATTTTCATCAGTTCTGAGCTTCAAAGCTGGCATGGGCGCATCAGAGGTGCTGGAGCACCAGATGCTGCGTGCAACCAAGACCCCAAAATAAATCAGGCTGGTAGGCCAGAGCAGCCACGGCACAGTGGAAACTCAGGGTGCACAGGAGAGGGAAGAGGTCGGGCCTAGCCTGGAGGCCTGAAGTGCCCCGAGGTACACTCTGAAAATCAAAAGCTGCTGGTCCTTGGAGATGGGAGCCCTCGGTTCCCAAGCACGGCTGCCGTGTCCGTGGAGTCTAAGCCTTGGGGACCCATGAGAGGTGGGTGTGCCTCCAATCTCAACAGCCCCCTCTTGGGGAGAGGACACAGCAGACACTTAACTTGATGAGGTGTCTGTGTTCTGTGCTAGCTGAGGACACAGTGACTCGAAGACGTGTGTTGGGGAGGAGCTCTGCAGGAACACTTGAGACTGAGAGAGTGTTGTTGCCTAGGTCCAGGCAGGGGCCAGGTTTGCTCAGTGGCAAGGACACCGAGCCCCATACAACACTGGCTGCTTCCTGGAGCTGGCGCCAGGGCCGGCCTTGGACCAGCGGCCGCTGTCCACTCTGACCTTGGCTGCCCTCCCAGGCTTTAGCCCAAGTTTGGATGATGAGGGAGGTGGGCTGCTGGGGACCCACCTACACATGGCAGCCAGACCATGGGAGGGAGCTTAAGGGTAGAAGAGGGGACTGTGGGTGATGGGGGAGGGTGGGTGGGGGATACCTTGCCTGTCTCCCATGACAGCCCCTCAGGTCAGCACCAGAGCTGCATACGGGTGTGCAGTACAGGCCAGAAAGTTCTGGGGCTCCTGGAGGGGGATGATAGGGTAGCCACTTTTTGGGTCACTTTCCTATAGTTTGGGGACACATTTCTAAAATGATTGCAATCACTTAAACAAGGGTTAGGACAAGGTCTTCATGGGGAGGCCCCTCCTGGGGTTTTTCTGGACACACTGAAGGGCCCATGGGGCACAGCTGGGGGTGACTGGCCCACCCCCTATGGCTGGGAGCCACATGGCCCAGCTCTGGTCTCAGGGTGCTGAAAGTCTCAGGAAGTCCACACAGAGCCTGAACCTGTGGAACTGACCACCAGGCAATGGGTAGGAACCCAAGAGCAAGTCAGGGTAAATCCCAGAGTCCTTCTTGGGGGAGGTGAGGAGAAGGGCCTGTGGAGGCTGCCTGATGCCTCCCTACCTGGCAAATACTTTGTGAACATGTTCCATGCTCAGGTCTGGGTGGGTCTGGACACAGGGGGACCGACCATCCACAGCTGCCGAGACCTGAGGTTTTGGGAAGATGGGCAGGTAAACAGGGACCTCCCCCAGGAAACATCCCCAAAGCTGATCTGTGTCCCCCACACCAGGCCAGGCACCTGCCCCAGCCCGTCCCCACAGCTGGCAGAGCCTGTCCCAGCACCTGGCACCAGGTGAATGGTGGCAACTTTGCCGCACAGTATGGATGTGGCTGCCTCTTGGCCTGAAGAGGCAGAGCTCAGGCCCAAAGCTCAGAGAGAGGAAAGTGAAGGCTGCCCACAACCTGCCCACCTGCCCCATCCAGGCCTCCCTTGGCAGGGTCTGGGATCCCCACAGGCCAGGGCCTCAGGCTTCCACCAAAGGCCTATAACCCAGTGTCCAAGAGGTTGCGCTGGCACATGGCCGGGTCAAGTCCTCCAGACAGCCACTCCCAGGAGGGTGACAGGATGCCCCGCTATCTCAACTGGGACCAAATGCTGAGCTGGTGGTGGGTCCAGTATGGGGTTTGGTCCACCGTGAAAGGGGACTGGTGCCAGGGTGCACCAGCTAGACCTCGGCCCAGAAAGGCACGTCCTCAGCTTCAGATAACTCAAACACCCAGATCCTCATTCAGAGAACTCAGATATCCCAGATCGTCCCTCAGATAACTAAGATACTCAAGATCCTCACTCAGATAACTCAAATCCTCACTCAGATAACGCAGACACCCCAGATCCTCACTCAGAAAATTGAGACACCCCAGATCCTCATTCAGATAACTCAGGCACCCCAGCTACTCACTCAGACAACTCAGGCACTCCGAATCCTCACTCAGATAACTCGGACACCCCAGATCCTCGCTCAGATCACTCGGACACCCCAGATCCTCACTCAGGTAACTCGGACACCCCAGGTCCTCACTCAGAAAACTGAGATACCTCAGATCCTCATTCAGATAACTTGAACACCCCAGATCTTCACTCAGAAAACTAAGACACCCCATATCTTTGTTCAGATAACTCAGACACCCCAGATCCTTGATCCTCATTCAGATAACTTGGACACCCCAGATCTTCACTCAGAAAACAGAGACACCCCAGATCCTCACTCAGATAACTGGAACACCCCAGATCATTGCTCAGGTAACTCGGATACCCTAGATCCTCATTCAGATAACTTGGACACCCCAACTCCTCATTCAGAAAACGGAGACACCCTAGATCCTCACTCATATAACTCAGACACCGCAGATCCTTGTTCAGATAACTTGGACAACCCAGATTCTTGTTTAGATAACTCAGACAGACACCCCAGATCCTCACTCAGATAACTTGGATACTCTAGATCCTTATTCTGATAACTCAGATGCCCCAGATGCTCATTCAGATAACTTGGATACCCCAGATCCTCATTTGTAAAGTTACTTGAAGGAGAAGGGTCCCATGGGGAATGGCAGACAGCAGAGCAACTTTAAACCCACCAGCTCCTGGGGACTGTGCCCTGCCTGGGGCAAAAGTCGGGGCTCCTGAGTGCACCGCCAGCCTTGCTCCAGGAAGAACCAAAAGTGAAAACAAGTTCTGCCCCAGGAGGCAGGGAGCGGGCACACCCTGTTTCCCGGTGGTCCTCAAGTGGGCACAGGAAGTGCCCTGGAGACCCTGCTGTAGGGTTTCTCTGTCCTAACAGAGCATCCACACAGCTGCCGCCTTCCCCTCCAGCCCCATCCTGGCAGGGTCACTTTGAGGCCTCTAAGGCCCGAGCAGGCCACAGCCTATGGCCACCAAGCTGCAGGGCAGCAGGAGTCCTGGGGCAGAGGTGGCCCTTCCCGGTAGACCCTGAGACTGCACCCCACGGAGCACCGGGCATTCATACTGCACCATGGGTCCCCAGAGCACTCCCAGGGCAAGGGAGGCTGCGGAGCTGCTGGGAACCCCTGCCCACCACGTCCCCCTGCAGTCAGGTCCCAGAGATACTGAGCCAGCCTGGCCCCACGGATGGGGTGTCCAGGCCATCCTTGTTCCTGCCCCATCTCCAGCCCCAGGGGCTCTGGCATAGCCCAAGCAGGTTGGTCGCAAGATCAAGGCCAGCCCCCAGGACTGCCCTCTGCCCCGGCACTCACCAGGCGCTTCTGGGGCCTCACTAGCGGCCGGTTGACGCCATTCACTTTGTGGTAGAGGCCACAGGCATTGCACAGGTAGTGGCCGGTGCCGTCTCGGCGCCACAGTGGCGTGGACAGGGCCCCACAGTTGACGCACTCACGGCCTTCGCCCGGGAACTCCTCCAAGAATTCGGACACTGTGGGGACAGTAGTCAGTGGGCCTGAGTTCCAACGCCCCAGGGCCTAGGGCTGCTGCCCCACATGCTGCCATCGAAGGGTCCTTCTTGAACCTTAAAGTTATTTTTTAAAAGTTTTACTTACTCTTATTTATTTATTTTTACTTAAGATGAAATCCATTAGGGTTGCTTTGATGGGGGGTGTTAATATATAGAACCCAAGGGTGCCTGGGCCTATACTCTCTGACCAGGGGCTAGCGCCTGACCTGCTGGGAGGCTACGGTATCTACACTGCAGGGGGAGGCAGAGGAAGGGGCATTATTTAGCAAGAGCGCCATCTCAGAGGACCCACTAACAGCTGGCTATGAGACCAAACTGTCAGCTTTGTTGTGGTCGAAGCCACTGTCCTCATTGGGAAGGCAGGACTTGTGAGCGTTGCCACCCACTTGGGCACCTGGGCCGAGGGTCTTCCTGGTCCCCCCAGGCTGGGCCACGTGCCGGTGGGAAGGAGGTCAAGGCGCCTGTCGGGACGAGTGGGATCAGTCATCGTGTGGTTGTGGGTGGGCGCCTGGCATGTGTCTGTCCGGGCAGTGGGGCCAAGGGATGGCAGCTGCGGCCGGCCCGCTTCTGCGCTGAGGGACCAGTGAGGCCAAAAGGTGGCTGGGAGTGGGGCTCAGGCCTCCAGGGTCCCCATGGGGTGGCCCAGAGGGGCCCTGCGCCAGTAAACACAGAGGCAGGGCCTGGGCCAGGGACCCACTGGTACCACGGGTGGATTCCCGTTGGCAGGCCTGGACCCTGGTCGTCCAAAGTTAACTCCAGTAGCAATTGAAACCAGGTCTTGAATTAAAAAACATGAACTTTCTAAAACAGATGAATGTAGCAACTTAAATAAGCCTGCGTTTTGGAGTTCATCAAAGTCATTTCCAAACTTTCAAAACAAACGTTTAAGGCTTCTCAGGCCCCATGCTGGCCAACTCCAGAATGCCATAAGGGCTCGCAGGAAGGAAAGGCAGACATCTGTGCACTCTTGCTGATGCCGTCAAGAGGAGTCTGGAGGTGGGTGTCTCCCGGGGGGGCAGTGGGCAGTGGTGGACCCCCTCTGCTGTTTTGGCAGTGCTGACCTGGCAACTGCGACTGACCGGCGGGAAAGCACCCACCGTGGGCCGGGGAGGGGAGCCCTTCGCAGGGTGCGGGTTTGCGCTGGATCAGGCCACCACCCCGCCGTGGCTGTACTCACCAAAAGTGGCCCTGCGGCCATGCAGGACGCTGCCATCAAAGGGCCCAGCGGTCCAGGACTGTGCCACGTCGGCGCTCACGAAGGCTGGGTAGCCGGCAGGGTACGGGCTGCGCACTGGCCGCCCGAGTGGTGCCGTGTACTGCTCACGGGCCAGCAGCGCGCCAGAGTAGGCGCCGCCATCCCGGCCCTCCGCACTGCCCCCGCCGCCAGGCCCCGGGGGGCTGTGAGCGAAAGGGAAGGCGGTGGTCCCAGGCTGCGAGGCCGGGGGGTGTGGGCTACCGGGGCCAAAGGCTGTGTCGGCGACGGCTGCCTGCGCCCAGCCCGGGTGCGCGGGGGAATGCGGACCCGGCTCACAGCTCGGCAGGTAGGGCAGCACCGGAGCGACGCGCGCCGGCGGCACGAACATTGGGGAGCTGACGCCCGGGGCATGCAGGAAGGCGCCCGAGTCGTAGGTGGCCTGGCCGGGGCTGGCGGCCAGCGCCAAGCTCGGGTACATCCTCCTGGCGCGGCCTCGACCTGAGGGGAGAGCGGCAGGCGTCGAGGTCACTGCCGCCAGCGCCCACGCTGGGCCAGGCAGGTGCCGCCTGGCAGGCGACGCGCTCCCCCCTCCAGCCCAGACCGCTTCCAGGAGGGTCCCAGAACCGAGGGGGAGG